AGTGTGTAATAAAAGAAAAAAGAATAGAAAAAGAACTTACAGAAAGCTTGAGAGACGACCGAGAAGCCTGGGGGGGGGGCGCTTAGAGCAAAGGAAATAGAATCAGCAGCTAGGTGTGGAAACATTCGGCAACTGTTCTAACTCATTCGTGCTACTGTTCCCAAAAGACAGCGCGTTAGTTAAATAATCTGTGAAGTAGACCGCACGCCAATATACAGTCTTTGTGGACGCTTGGAACGCTGGTCAAGGAACTTCAAATTGTAGTTTAACCAACCTCGCGCTGGATTCTTTAAGTAGTTCTCCTAAGACTGCACCTTGGTTACTATCCATGGAACTGCTCACAGAAGGGGAGATCCGAAAGGAACGCCATAGGCGTTTGGATCAGACGACCTGCCACTGACTCTCTTTAAAAATGGTCTAGAAGCTCTCGTGTGAGGGCTTACTAGACGGTTTTCAAAGATCTAGGTGAAGCTGATAGCGTTCTTTTCATTTTGCGGACTGAGCCCACTTCGCGAAAGACAAGTCCGTGAAGACCAGGCCGGGTTTCGTACCCGCCGTGGTTGCATACATTAAATTGTCACTCTTCGTCAACTGCTAGAACACCGCCACACATGGACGGCAAAATATTGTCCTATTTTTGCATATCAGAGCGGTCTTCCACTCCATCGATCACCCTGCTCTGTAGAACTGTTTGCGGAGATACAGACTACCTGAGAAGTATGTCCTGTTTCTAAGAGCACTTTACCGCCAGACCACGGGGAAGGTCAAGGCCTATGGTGAACTCACCCTCATTTCCTGTTACCGTTACGGTCCGACAGTGTTGCCGTATCTCTCCGTTTCTTTTCAACTTTTCCATAGACTTTGTTCTACAAAAAGCGTTACTCAACGTAACGAACGCTGGCTTCAAGCTTCTTCCTGGAGATAGAGTGGTAGACTTGGAATTTACCGATAACATTGCTTTACTGGGCGACAACGCAATTGAGGTTGCTCGTTATGGTACATCCTTCGCACCTTTGGAGTGCAAGTTGTTGTTGCAAGATTGCAGTGAACTGTTCCTGCATTTTCTTTGGGCAACCACACTCTGGAAATAGTTGAAATCTTTGTCTACCTCGGGAGTTGCATAACGGCGGACAGAAGTGTGGGCGAGGAGACCTACCAACACACACACTAAAGGTTGGATTGGCGTTTGCTAATCTGCGGCATATCTGGCGCCGGTGCGATTTATCCTTTTTGTGAAGTGGTATGTTTATTGCGCAACGGTACAAAGCGTGTTGCTCTACGACTGCGAAACTTGACCTCTCCGAGCAGGTAATATACGACGACTATCCGTTTTCAACAACCGTTGTCTGTGCAACATCGCCCGCTTGTGGTGGTGGCATCACGTGAATAACGATGGCTTTAGACGACGTGTGTTAGGGTCAGATAGCCTTCCACTGAGCAAAACCATTTCACTGCATCGTCTTGGGTGACTAAGACACGTCCGACAAATGCCTGAACAACGTCTACCATATCATGCACTATTTGCAGACATTGTTTCGGGCTGGAAGAAACAACGAGGCTGGCAGGCTGTGACATGACGTAGAGGGTTGAAGAGACTGCCATTGACGACGGTTGACATTTGCATGGATGGCCTACTGCCTTCCATGCAGTCAGAAGAGTGGTTATCGATTGGTTTGAATGAATCTGAGGCCGTAGCCGTTTACGGCTTTGATAGCTTTGGGAAAGCACGAGATTGTTGTACCGCTTAAAACCAGGCTGTTCACATGTATCACTGTTTTACGTTATTGTACTACAGCAGCTTTGATACCAACACTTCTTGATTACCCCTGAATTTTCTTTCACCTATTCTTTTGCAGTTGTTACCGGTTTTCGAACGCTTCTACATCCATGCCTCACAAACTGCCATTTCGTTTGGTTTATGTCACATGTCAAGATGAACATTTTCCGGCTACTGAGCTTAATCATCACTCCCCTGCAACTCGGGGCTGGATTTCGTCCAGATTTTGCACTTTTCCACAGCAACTTGTATTTGAACTGCAAGAACGAGCCAATTTGCGCAAAATCCAGCTGCTTTCTCATCAGTATTTGATTGGTACGACAGTGATCAAGCATTACCACTATTTAATTTACCCCCAATTAGCTTCGAAAATTGAGTTTTTCGTTGGTGATATACGGGATGATGATATTCGACACTATCAGAACGCTCGATACACGAGATTGGGGTAAGAATAGCACGCCTTTTGTGTTATCTCTGTGTTTTGCTGTCAGTTATGTATCCCTATCGGATAATCGAAGTACAGAGTTCAAAGCACGCGAATTGAAATCTGTTCATGTGGATGCCACGGGAACTTTTGTTCAGCTCATGTTGCACAAGAACTATGCGAACGAGCATAATTTGTATAATCAGGCAAGTGATTTCTGTCATGTCACTTTCATTTTGGTAGGTTGGTTTAATTGCAATCAATTTGATTGGTGATCCGGCACACAAATTTCCCAACCCAAATAGTGAGATATCGTCGAATTCTGGTGTGATGCACAGGTAATTTGATCTTCCTAATCCCATAGATTTTCTACTAGCATTTCTCCCCATGATTAGTCACCAGTGGTTGGCCTCATTTCAGTGATATAGATAGATATATAGATAGTTTGAGGCTGTTATGAACTAATTTACTGGATGTTGTAAATGAAAAAGTTCATGTTTCGCTTGTCGACCCGTAGAGGTAATTTTCCAGAACCACAACTCTCAGAACGGGGCCCGGGGTCACAACGCACCGGGTTTGATTTCAAGGCTCGTCGTGCTTTAGGAACTCCAGTGTATATTTGTTTGTGTGTGTGCGTGTGTGTTATAAAAAGCGGATGCAAATAAGCTCAGATCGGTCCCAAAACTGCAACAGCTAACCTCTTCCGTCCCTCAAATATTGCAGGGAATAGAGTGAGGAACATAGATGCAATTTTACGGCACCGAGTGATTGAGATAAATATACATTACTTGGCCTGTGGTTTATTTATATTTAATGGCTGGATTTTGTCGGAAGGTGTGTGTGTGACTATTATCATAGCATTTGTCGCAGAAAGCACAGTGTTAACCGGCTAGGCAATTAGTCAATTAATATCTGGATGCGGTATAAAACGTGAACAACTTCACAGGAATATGGAAATCTCGATAGTATATTGCGGCGCATTTTTCAACATTCGCACTCCGCGAATCTATGTATAAGATTTATTGCTAGAAACCAGCCGAAGGCTTTGGTCTTTAGCAATACTAAGATGATTAACCTACCTTACGGTTATAATGATCTTGTTTCTGACAAAATGCAAAGCTACTATACACGAATAAGAATAGAAAATTTCTCTGGACAAAAGAAACTGTTGTATAGCGTAGTCTGGGGGCTTTACGGGATGAGTCGTTTTATTATTATGATCCTTGTTAATAGGAAATTATGAAAAGCTAAAGTCACGTTCAGATTGATTATCCACTATGACATAATTCGTGTACTTCACCAAAATGGGATCAGGATTAGCGGAAATCTGTCGGGTTGGGTGGGGACGAAGCGTGACGAAAGAAATGATTGGACTGAGACATTCCAGAACTACTTTGAGTTATTTTTAATCGCCTAATTCCTTTTCATTTCGAAATATATATGTCTGTTAAAGCAGTTTTTAAGAGGGGGATGCAACTAAAGAAAAACTGCCTGGAGAAATAAAAACATAAAATAGCTGACCAGAAATTGAGGGTTTTGAACACGACTGCCAAACCGCTGTGATAAAGATCTTAGCCCCTTGACCATGTGAAACTAATGCGTGAACTTTGATAATCTGATTTTCATCAGCGAAACAGTTTTCGACCGGAAAAATCATTCAAAGACATCAGTGTCATACAGTCCATTCTATTTTTTTGAAGCCAAAAGTATATTTAAAAGTGTAACTTTCTTGACTAACTGCTTGATCAATATAAAGTTGTTTCATGTTTTACTGGTAAGCGAATAACCTAAATTACCTAGAAACATTGATATTTTTGTCACCGTCACTTGGTTGTTTGCTTTCAGTCAGTCGTTTGGCCTATTTCACTAACAGAAGCCACGTGATCAAGTTAAGCAGGTATTGCAATAGATTTGCAACCGATTAAAACCACACTACTGACAACCTAGTCTATGGGATTGCAGGTGAACCTTTCTAATATTGTAAGTTCATGTCATGTAGACTAAGAGTTTCATGTCCCTATTGATTTCATTCGTTAGTTCTCCTTTTACTCCGAAAATTTTCTATGGTTTCTCCCATTGTATTTAAGTTCCTATGGATGATTTCATACCCCAATACAGTGTCACATTTCAGTTCCATTAGTCTCATACAACCATTAACCTTGCACTTCCGTGCTCCAGTTTGGCGCTTTGTATTTCGAGTACGCATTTGGTTGGGCAATGAAAAAAGTAAACGAACAATTGGAGTGCCATGAGGCTAAATATAATACAGAGTAACTATAAGTTTGTGTAGCAAATGAGCAGTGGTGTAATGAACAGCGAACGAGGTGAGCATCACAGTCCGAAGACCTGCTGTTCGGCGATAGAAACCTGCAAAATAAGCCCGGAACTTGGAGCGGCGAAACACTTTAGGTCCCAATAGGTTAGGCATAGTCAGGCGAGGGCCACTGTTTACGACATCTGACCATATCACACAATGTCTTCAATCAGTGATTAAACTGATCCCCGACATATATGACCGAGTTCGGTGGTTCAGGTTTTCATATTTTCATGCTTGGTCATTGTCTGGTCACTCATGACATCTGAACTACTACCTGTCTCGATACCCGTACATGTGTAGTGCATGCCCAGGTCACCGCCTTGTTTTCGTACGTGATCACGATTTCTTGCTACTCTTCACATAACTTCGGCACTGGTTGTTCGGCTATCGCAGCACACTTCTATGATACGGCGTACATAGCGATGCTCAAAAATCCATAACCGGTGTTGATCTTTTACGAGTAAAGGACGCATCTCTGCGGTATATAATGCTACAAGATAAACTGCGGAATTAGAAACTTTTGAGACAAATAGCATTATCTTAGAAGCCAAGTAAAAAACGATGAACTGCATTTGGTACGACTTTATCGTCATGGTCTTAATCATTTTAAAACAATTTAGATTGTGATGGAATTCATTGATTGCTGCCACGATCACAAGGTAAATGCAAGGACGCATGTCATACGCACTTCTGTCTGATCTACTTCAACGGAACAGGAAGAATGTATCTTTTGTTGCATCATTGCCCTGTCCTTCATTTGTGGCGCCGTCGCGACATCCGGCTGTCTGTGAACGGTCGAGTGTA